ATGCCACGCGGAAATTTCTAGGAAATATTTCTCGAGTTACGTCTTTGGGCTTTATATTGTACAAATGAGACTATCCAAACTTGTACAAAATCGAATCCGTATTTGAATCAGACAAATGGTATTTAAACGGTTAGCTCTGGAAACTGGTGTATATTTCACTTTATCTTATAGAATTTAAATACAGAAATAACAAATCGATGGTCCAAAAAGCGACAATTTAACTGGCACCTCTACCTATAACTTTTCTTACGGTAGAGCTATGAACCTTATATTGCTGTGAAGAAGATCATCTAAACTAAAATAACCAACCAGATAATTACATTAAGTTTAAGTACGTAGCCTTTCATTATACAATAACTTACTGTGCATGATCTCAATTCATATTAGAACGTTCTCTAAAGTGCGTTTTTCTATTGTCGCTCTAAATTTACTTTCATTTTTATAAAGTTTTGAAATAATGTAAATCTCAGTTTTAGAAGATTGCTGTCTCTAAGATGTTGCTTTTACAGTCGATTCACGGTTATAGAGAGAGAACAGCAAATCGACGGTCCAAAAAAACGACCATACCTCGCGGAAATCTCTAGGACAAAATTCTTTGCTTAGGTCTTGCGCAAAGAAGATCCTCCAAACTTGTATAAAATGGAATCCGCAATGGAATCAGACAAACGCTGTACGGTTGGCTCTAGAAAATGGTATTTTTATACACTTAATATACACAAAGAACAAATCGCCGGAACATACAACCACCATGCCACGCGGTTAATAATTGCTTGAGTTAGGGCTTTTGGCTTTATTTTGTGCAACGAAAACCATCCGAAATTGAATCTGCATTGGAATCAGACAAAGGGTTTTTAAACGATTGGCTGTGGAAAATGGTTTTATTTTCCGAAAAGTTATACAATTTATCTACACAAAGAACAAATCTCCGGTCTAAAAAGTGACCATGACATGCGGAAAACTCCAGGACATATTTCTCGGGTTATGGCTAAAGGCTTTATATAGTGCAAAAAAAAACCTGCCAACTTGTACAAAATCGAATCCGCATTGGAATCAGACAAATGTCATTTTAACGAGTGGTTATGAAAAATGGTGTATTTTCCGAAAATTTATACAATTTATAAGAAGAAAAAACAAATCGCTGGTCCAAATAAGGACCATGCCATGCGGAAATCTCCCGTACATATTTCTAGTGTTAGGGCTTTGGACTTTATATTGTGTAAGGAACACCCTCCAAACTTATACAAAATTGAATCTGCACTTGAATCAAGCATATGGTGTTTAAACGGTTGGCTCAAGAAAATGGTGTGTATTTTACTAAATCTTATAGAATTTATATACATAAAGCTCGAAATTTTATTTCGAAAATCTGTACACTTAATATACAGAAACAAAACGCCGGTACAAAAAACCTATCATTCCACACGGAAATATCACGGATATTTTGCTTTTGGTAGTGCTAAGGCCTAACATTGTTATAATGAAGACCCACCAAACTCGTACAAAACCGAATCAACAACGGAATCAAACAGTTGGGGTTAAAGTAGTTGCCTCGAGAATATTTTGGGGATTTTTTACGAAAATTTATACACATAAATAACAAATCGCCGATGCAAAAACAAACGACCATGCCGCGTGGAAATATTACGGACATTTTTCTTGGGCTAGGGCTTTGGACCTTTTTGGACCCTATAAAATTCTACAAAATCGTAACCGCAATGGAATCAGCCAAATGGTGATTAAGCAGTTGAATAATATTGTGTTTGTATCTTCGAACATTAATACAGTTTTTATACAGAAAGTACAAATAGTCGGTAAAAGAAACGACCATTCCACGAGAAAACTCCCGCACAGTTTGCTTGGGTTAAGGGTGTTTATCTTATATTCTAAAAACGACCATGCCACGCGGAAATCTCGAGCCAATATTCCTTAGCCTTATAATGCTATAAAGAACATTCTCCAACCTAATGGAATATTTATTCCGCAACGGCAGTATACAACTTGTGTTTTAACGGTTGACAGCAGAAAATGGTGATTTTTACAAGTATTTATACTCTTTCTATATACTGGAATAACAAGTCACTGATAGGATTCTCAAAACTCATACAATTGCTAATCTGCAACAATATTATAATAATGGTGTTTTAACACTTGACGAAAATGTATACAATTTATTTACTTACAAACAAATCTCAAATGGAAAGAGTGACTTTACATCGCAGTCATTTTTTTCTTGCGTTAGAGCCTAATATTGCTGTTAGAAATCTTCCAATGTAATAAAATCGAACGAATAGCCTTTTTTGAAGTATGTAGCGTTCATGTCATGAACGGTTGCCTTTAAAAATTGTTTTTTTTTACGAAAACATTTACACATTATTTTGAAAATAAACAAATTGCCGGTCCAAAAACCGAGCATGCCATGCTGAAATCTCGGTGCCATATTCCTTGGTCCAGAGCTATATGCTATGATCAGCTATGATGATGTAAAAAGAAATCTACAAATTTATATAATTTCCGATAAGGACCGAAATAAAAAAAAATGGTGTTTGAAAGGTTGTCGTCAAAAGATGATGTTTATAAGAAAATGATTACACTTTATTATAAACAATAACTAGTCGCCGAAACAATAAGACGTAAATCTAACGTCTATATTCTTTGTCCTTAAGCTCGGTGTCATATATTGCTGTGAAGAAGAACATCCAAATTAATACAATTTTAATCCGGAACGGAATCACACCAATGATGTTTAAAAGTTTGGCAGCAGAATATGGTGCATTTTCCAAAAGTGTACCCTTTATATAAAAAAAGAACAAATTGCCGGTCCAAAAAAACGACCATACATCGCTGAAATCTAAAGGCCATAATCCTCCAAAATCTCCAAGTGATATATGGATGTAATGATGATGTATATGTGTAATGCAAAGGATTGTATGAACACTATGATGTGCCTTGCCATATATTTTGTGTTGTGGGTTTTAATGAGATAATTTCATTAAGACAATCACAGAGATATAACAATCTCTGTTATAGGCTATAGAGATCTGAATCTACGATACTACCTTCATTTTACTTAAAAGATTCTTCACAAAACCCTTGATATTTTATTATTTGTTTATATTTAAGTGTTGATATTATTAAAAGATGACTTTGTAAGGTTTTGATATTATATCATTTTTTGTGAATTTTATTGTGATGTTTTATTCATAAAACGTCTGTTATTAAATATATTCAATGACCTTGCCCATCAAGGTCAAATTATTTGAATTTGTTTCTTTTGTCATAACTGTTGTATTTACTTATAGACTTGATTTACATTTGCACAAAAAAGAACACATGTGACACAACTGACATATTTAATTATTCTGATTTGACATTGACCTTCAATTGATATTGGCTCTCTTGGTCAAGTTATTTACCAAGAGTAGCATAACTTAGTTATAAATTATGTATTTGATTCATACTTGAAGTGAAAAAAGAGCACTTATTTCTACACTGAGGAGATGACAAATGTGACCTTGACCTTTGAAAGCCATTGACTAGGTCCAATATAAAAATTGAGTTTTATTTTGTGAAAGGAAAATTATCTTTCGTAGGAGCGCTCTTTACTATAATATTCTTCATTTTGTGTGTTTGTAGAAATAAGAATAAGAAAAAGTCCACTGAGTCACCCAAGCCGGTGGTTCTTGTTTTTTTTATTACATTTGCTATTGAACATTAGAATAAGCTAAAGATACCATAAAACTGAAACTGAAAAAAATCAATATTAATAGTTTAAGCAGTAAATACTGTAACAGTACTTTTGATTATAAGTCATAATTGCCACAAATTTAAGGACTAATTTCAGATATAATCATAGAAAAATATTCAAAATTTATATTATATTTATAACAAAAAGTAGTAGAATCTTTATTCACAATATATACATGATAAAAATCTGTAAGAAGAGTGATCCCTCGGAAACATTTATGACAACAAAATAACATAAAAACTGCAGACTCGGTTTGACTGAGTCTGTACATGAGGGGTAAGTTAATAACATACAGCATCAAAACCATTTCAAGTAAACAATGCATTTTCATTTTAAAAGAATACGAAATACCAGTCAAGAATTTATTCAGCATAAAACATACTAATACAAATAAGAAATGCATATAGCATATATAAATTCAATATACAGTGTAAACAAAAACAAAAAAATTAAACAAAAAAAAACATATGGACATAAATGTTTTCAGTATTAATCATAAAGTAATCAACAGAAGAGGTTGTTTCAAACGAAAATTTACGATTAAAAATAAAATTATGACAAGGAATGATTCATTTACTTAAGACACATATATTTATATAACGAAATTTCTTTACTTATCTATAATAATTATCTTGTTGAATTATACAATTCTTTTTATATACAAGAGAAACAAATCTATCTCGGTAACATCTATCGTTTTTCTTTTTTGAATTGTTGACATGAGAGCTATAAATTAATAAAATGTTGGACACTTGCAATGAAAGCGTTTAAAATTTCATAAATTCTATATGGCTTCTAATATTACTTGTTACAGGGACAGATCCAGAATTATGATCATTGAAAAATATTCAAATGTAATATTTAGTCATAAATAATGTTATTCCTTTATTTATATCGACTTGTATCTTATGTTTTGTACTCACCGTGACGGCTTTAGTTCAATTAAAATGCTTCAATTTTTCTGCTTTGGCTACTCGTTCATGCAATATTCTTAGGTTTGTTTTGAATCAAATGTACCAATGAAGAATGTTTTCAAAATAAAAGAATATTTCCTGTTAGTTAGTAAGTTAGTAGATAGTTAGTTAGTGAGTGAGTGAGTTAGTTAGTTAGTGAGTGATAATGATAATGAGGACTGAAATGTGGTCAAAACTAAACATTCATGGTGTAAACACTGTGTTTTCTTTATCGGCAATTATGGATTCGGTTATTCGAGACGTTTCTTATTAATTAAATTGAAACGTTATAGTAACTGTTGTTTTTCAAAAATGTATTTATTTTCAGAAAACTTCATACAAACTATTTAAATATGTATGTACACCGACTGAAAGGTTTAACAAATAAATCTAGAATAAGAGCAGCACAATAAATCAAACTGTTCATTGGAAAACAAAAAGAAACATAGCTAAGACTCCGAGGATAGCACCAACCAGTCCAGCTACCATAAACAGCCCACTGACCCAAGCGTCCTTTGCTTCGAAATTTGCGTATCCTGAAATTATACAAAAATGTATTACTGTACTATATCAGCTCATGAAGATGATATATATTTCAGACTATCTAAAAATAATTTATACATTTACAGTACCATAACATTGACGCCAATGTGATGGATTAACAAGTTTAATTATATAAATTGTATTTTAAGATTGTGTGCTCATGCTCATTACATTTTTTTTGTTCCTATTATTTACACAACCATTTTTATCATTAAAATATTGATCATAAATTGAAAATATTTGTATTTATATTCAATATGTATTCAGACAAAAACGGCACATATAGATTTACCTTAAATACCATTTCCTGAATACAAATTTGGTAGCTACCTAAAACTATCATCATCCTTACCTGTTTCGAATGAAAACTTTTTCTTGCTGTCGAACCTTACCCTATACTTGGTGGACTTTCTGATCTTGTTTGTTATCATATGGTATGTTAAGCAGCATGAAGGTATAATATCGCAACTTTCTATGATAATAAGAACGGCTTTAGAAAGGTTATCGACGCTACGAATTAACTCTTCAAGTGCCGGAGTGGTTAATGTTACCTCGTAAAGATGTACACGTTCAATACTTCTCATTTCAGGAGCTAAGACGAATTTTCTACCACCAAAATCAGCATATTCAATTGCAAAACTTTTTATTTGCGTCAACTTTGTAAGGGATCCCGCCGCGTAGAGGGATACCTGTTCTTTTGAAAGGTACTTTAAGCGTAGCGTGTCAAGATTTGCTGCATTTGGCAGACTGCCTTCCAATTCCTTGTGAACATTGGTTGAAAGTCTTCCAGTATAACACATGTTTAAAACAGAAGGATTGACTCTTAGTGTTGAGATAGGTATGGTGCCAAGCCGTAACGTCTGCAGATTCTTATGTCTTGAAAGATCTAATACGCCACATTCTCCGCTGTGGTCCGAATCTTCACATTCAATATGACACAACCCAACCTCTGTCATTTCTGACTTTCCATTTATGTGAGCAAGTAAATCTTGAATGTCTGTATGAGATAAACGAATGCTATTTAGGCGTAATGACGTCAAAAGATCCATGCCAAATACTGTTCTTATAATTTCACGAGGAAGTTTTGTATACTTTGTGCGGTATTGTCCATCGATAAAGTTTGCAAAACATAAGTCGAGGCATTTTAATGATTTCTCAGAGTTTGTCAATAATTGTTCAAGATCATGTTTTGGTGGCGTAGCAATAACTTCTATCTTCTGAAGGCATTTCAAATTTGGAAGATCAATTTTTAAGAGTCTATCTGACACTTCTTTTGTTGACCTACTTTGCTCTATACTTAATGATTTGATATTATCTGTATTTTTCCGGATGATCTTTACAAGTGTTTTGAACCTTTTGTTAGTAATTGAATTATCTAATACAATATCCTCTAGATATAAGTCAAAGTCTCGATGATTGTTTCTCAACATTTCTTGTAAGATATCAGTCTGCATAGACTGAAACGACTTTACAACTTCCCAACATTTTCGATACTCTGGTAATGACGTTCTTCCAGATAAGCGGCACCTGTAGCGACTTATTGTTTCGTCTGTTGACATTATAGACCTCTGTAAATCTGCAATATTCTCATAAGCCACAGGACTAAAGCCACCCAGGAATACAAACATATTTGACAGCTGCAAAATGGATTCCAATGTACTGTACTCCGTAAGAAGACTCTTTTTTAAATCTAGATTGTATGGACTCGCCTGAATATACAGTGCAGCGAAATACTCTTGAATGGTTTTATGCTGAAACGAAAAGTTACTTTTCCTACCTGAAATCTTTGTATAGTCTTTATTCTGAGATAACAATCCTTTGTTAAGGAAAAGGCTTTGCTCATCGGTTGAGATAAATTTGTCCACAATATGGTCCTCAAATATAAGTGCTGATTCGTTTCTCCCACTGGTAAGTGTTTCAAATGCTAATTTCCCAAGCCTTAGAAGTTGCTGATAGTAATGCAAACACTCTTTATTTGCTGAAAAACATACAAGATGATTTACACTTTCATTTGAGGCAGTTTCTGTGACAGTCACGTCTGTAAAACTCTTACCTCGAGCAAGATTAAGTTCTATAGTGTTGCTATAGATCTGACATTGAGAATTTCCTATTGTATAGTCGTCGAACCATAGGCAAATCAATTGTAAAAATATGTAAGGTATGGACATTAAAGCATCAATTTTTGTAGATGACACAGCGGTTCGAAAGTCTTCTACTTTTTTTGAAGTCCTATACGCTCTATTAAATAGCTTTACGGCCGAAGCTAATAACTGGTTTGATTTTGTCTCGTCAAATTCAAGAAGCTCATATAGCATATCGATTTGACTGTTTTGAATTTTTGATGAATAAAGTTTCCATGGACGTGTTGTAGTGAGGATTGTACAGTTTGGCCAATGTCGTCGATGGGGAATAACATCACCCTTGTGTTCGCAGTTTTCTGGATGCATCCATTCATCCAACCCATCAAGTATAATCAACACATTCTTTTCGAGCAATAATTTGTCCAAAAATCTTCTGCTGTAAATGTTAGGGAAAGGCATGTTTTTTTGCAACATGTGGTATATCATTTTATTGATATGGCACTCATTTGTATCTGTTTCTTTTAAAGATATAAAAAACAATAAATCAAACATCTTCAAAGTTGTAAAATCTTCCGTTTGACTTGCTGACTTAATAACCGGTAAATGTGCCTGGCACCATGTCAAGCAAACCTTTTTTACAAATGAGGTCTTTCCGATCCCCGCCTTTGCAATGACATAAATTTCCGTATACGGTTGTTTACCGGAAAGGAATAGATCTTTGTATGAACATATTTCATGTTTAGATGTAGAATTATTTGCATCTAGGAATGCATTTGTTATTTCTATAGATCTGATTGTTGGCTGCACGTAAACCTCTTCAAGCGGAACATCATTTTCTATTATCAACGGAGAGATAGGTAATGTTCCTTGGGAACGTCTGTAAACTTTTACCAAATCACGGCGTAACCCTGAAATTATAGACACAATTTTATAAGTTGAAACAATTTCTAAACTGTAGTAACTGAAGCACGTTCATAAAAACAAAAGCACAAGAAAATAAGATCATTCGTCAAAAAGATATTCTAAATTTACATTTAGTAAGAACATTTAGCTCTTAATCGGTATTGCTTTATTTATCTAGTGTTTCTAAGCTTGTTGTAAACAGCAATGTTTAAGACAGAACGTCGGGTTGTACTTTATAATACAAGATATAAACAATAATGGTTTTTTTTTCTAATTTGCAAGTACATTATATATAATATGGTTATAATCTTTCAGAACAAAAGAAATATGCGTCTTCAGAAACAAATTCAAACATTTATTAACAACAGTTAACAGCACTTACTTTTACAAAGGCGTTTGTATTTCAAACAGGAAAGTATATCAAAACCATAGGCTTGCTGAGGAAAATCGTTTGCTGTAAATGCGAAACAAGAAGAATTGATGAATAGATTCGTTTTTCTTTATTTTATCATAAATTACTTATAATAGCAAAACAAATTTGGTTTGTAATCTAGCTTAGAAAACTTTCTCAATGACAACTGATCTGGAACATTAAGTTTAATGAATATTGTCTCACACCGTTGATTTATAAATCATATGGGATTAATTAAAAATAGTTCACTTGCACAAAATACATGAAATACTTGTGATTTTTACAGGAAAGCTGGGCAGGTGGACCGGATGCCGAGATATGACTTAAATCGGTTTAACAACAAACAAATTTATTGGTAAGCATAATACACATTAGTCGTTTTAAGGACGTTATTAACTCATATACATAGGCATGTATAAACACGGTCAAACCAACATTGCAATGTATATCTCGACAGTTTGACAAAAATCAACATAGCTTACCAATTCCCTTTTGGAGAATTTCATCGACTACTTCACTTTTAATTTCTTCCTTCATTTTTATTAGAGCCTGTAACTTTATTGTGACTATGTAATCTAGTTGTGCAAGTGGTAGAGTTTCTTTGTTGGCTACCTCCGATTTAATGTCGTTTATCAATTTACGCGGTATCTGCATCGCATCTTCTTTATTCTGCATTTCTTTTTCATTTCCAGTGGAAGAATCTATTTCTTCACTGGCGGTCTCTAACGCTTTATTTAGATCTACCACATGAACAGTTATTTCATTCTTCTTCAGCTGAAAAATGAAAACAAAATCATTATATTGGCTCGAATTTTATGTAACACTTCAAAATACACGTATAGCTTCGTAAATTAAGCTTTAAATATGTTGACCTTTGTATATGTAAAGTTTTTAACGTAAGATTTTAGAGATCCTGTATGTTGAAATTAAGGACTTAAGTGAAATTCTATATATGTATATTATTATGCTTCTTCAACAATTTTCAAACACCGAAGAATATGTAAAGTATGTACTGCAAATATTTGTCCATAATCATTAAAATATATAAATTTCTTATTGAAAAGATATCTTAGACTTTATAGAAAATAAATTTCAAATTACCTACCTTTATTAACATGTAATGTAAACTCGGTAATATCTTTACAAATAATGCTTTTTGGAACTTACAATATTGATAAATCTTCATTTGAGCAATAAATTTATGATAAAAAACATAACAATGAGTTACAGGATCTTTATAAAATCTACTAGACTTCTTTGATAACTGTAAAATATAACATAAGTTTGCAGTAGCTATTTATTGCCTTCATTGTCCAATGAAAATCGACCTTACAAACGTGCAGAATTATAATTTCAAATACACGCCATTTATGTTCAATGTTTATACAATGTTTAATTGAACGTCATGCAATTCACCAACCAAGTTAAGCTGTTTCACTGCTTCTTGTGCTGTTTTGTTATGAGCCAAACATTCAGCATCGGAAAGAAGACTTATCAAACTGTCAATATAAGTTTCTAGGTTTGTTCGTGAAACAATCAAATCTCCAGAATGTCTAATATCATTGCCCATATCACGCACCTAAAATAAAACAAATTATTATAGTAATGTTAATAAAAAATTCAACACATTGACACTTTGTAATTTCATTTATTGAAAGTTATGTTAAATGTTATGCTTTTGTCAAAAGCCGATTGTTATATTGAATGAGTTTTGGGTGCAATATACCTGTATTCACCAGATAATTCACTAATTGTTAAAGCCAATGCTTTCATATGAACGGTTAAGAAACTCTTTAAAAAGAAATACAATGTAAAGATTACCTTTGTGACCTTATTTACTTTCTCACTGAGCAGATTTGGCATTGTGCGTCCAAAACTTTTCTTACATATAAGTATGGAAAGAAACCCATTAAAATCCACATCTTTAAGGCTCTTGGCATTTTTGTAACGGTTTGTAGGAGGCACAAAACATTTCGCTATTTCGACTAAGTCGGTGCACCATCTTGTTGCGTCTGTACTTTTCCAATTAGGTGTCTGCCTGTGCTGTTTTCGTAATTCGTCTCGGATATGATGGCATATGTCCTTTGCACATTTTCTTCCAGGTACCTCTCCTTGAATCGTTGAACTATGGTAAACACATCTATTTTGACGTCCCTTGACACAAAAGTTGTTCGTTGGACAGCTCAAAATAAGTTCAGTCGTACATGAGTTGCAAATGGAGCTTTTATTTATCTTGTGTTTTGTGAGGACTGTTTGGATGAACTTATTTAAATCGTCTTCCAAAGTGGATTCTATTCCCTGTTTTGTCAAATTCATTGCCATATGACTTTTCAGCCAGTTCAAAAAACCGTCTTCTTTTAACAACGAATCCATCATTTATGGAAGTAATATTCTTGTTTCAAGACTCACTTATCTTATAAGACCTAAATATTGTATGAAAAAGGTATGTTTATTAAATAATTGACAATTATTGATTTATAAAAATAACTTGAAAGTATCTAGTAGATAACAAAATGGTAGATCCCTCATTATCAAGTAAAATCAAAGTAAAATACAATAAAGAAAAATCAACCAAGCTTAAGCATCTTAAACAAATGTAGTCTTCATTACCCTGTGAGGTTTAATGTGAAATGAAATGATGGTTATTAAAATATATTACCCTGCTAGAAAAATCTTTCGTCTGTGACTGTGTCGTCATCACGTTTTTATAATTGTTTTATTTCTGAAAATTGAATCAAACATTTCAATGTGGAATTCAGTATAACGTTTAATGAAAAAGTACAAAAATGTATATATAAAGAAATCGTGCAAAACAACCACATATATCGAATTACCTTTGTTATTTTTGTATGTTACAAATCTGTCCGCTCCATCATAGAACAATATGTGATGCATGAGTTTCTGGTTAGTAGCTCAAATGTTTTCGACAGAACTAGATGTGAAATTCAAAACTGTGTTTAATATGTCGTTGTTTTTTATTGTTTTTATTGTAATTTTTTTGAATGATTCTGACGGCAAAAATGTTTACCTGAAATGATGTGTGGCGGAGATGAACGATACTAAACGAAGCTAAAACGTTCAATTCAAAGCTGCAGGTTGACGATATGAGTATAGCTGTAAAGCAACATTTTCTCTCACGACGTGAGGCATTTTAATTGTACTTCTATTGTCCATATCTATAGTTATGAAAATAACATCAAGTTCATGTATTTAATGCAATTGAAATTGCAAGTCTTACGTGTACACTGTTTTAAATAAATTAAACGTTATTTACTATAAGAATAACAAAACATAGCCAGTTGTCTCTATTGTAACCAAGATGGTCATTATTTCCTTTTCAAACACGTTTTTTTTGTGCCTTTGTTAGTTTTCATTTGTGTCATCATATTAACTTAATATGAGAAATAATCAAGGAAAATATTCTTTCAAATGATCTGTATAACGATAATAAAAACACAACAGCTTAAATGCTTTAATGTACCAATAAGTTATCGTATTCACAGCTTAAATGTAGTATCGCGATATCATTTAGGTCCGTTAAACATATTTTTTAAATGCCTATTATGTCAATGTTAAAGAAAATAAAAACAATGTATTGTCTTAATTGTTTATAACGGACATAATAGCATGTTACCAGTTAAAAAGAATCACAAACTCGTTTGAAAATAAAAGGATTTGGACATGACGTGTCTGATATGGTTATACATTGTTCTCGTTGTATATTAATCTATGTAAATTGATATGAATAAATGATACTACGTATAATTAAGAATATATGTCATTGATTGCAGAAATATGCAATTTATTTCTATGATGAATAAGGTAAGAAGTGGAAATAATTTTCTAAAGTGACTGAATTATATTTTGCAAATACATATGTATTCTTTTTTACGGTCAAAAACACTTAATTTGAATATGGTTTATAAATATAGGCAGTGGTTCGCTAAAAAATCTGATTCATAGGGTCCAAATTACTCTACATAATTTGAAATAAGTATAAGAATAATGAATGAATGTTACGAATTTTAAAACAATATACCGATGAATTCCATATGATCGACTTCCTTTTTGCAACAAACGAACAAACGCCAAGTTGCAGACAGGAAATAATTTTGCATATAAATGTAAAAAAATAAATGATTGATTAACTGACTTTGATACTGCTGGAAATATGTTTGTAATAAATTGGACATTTTCTTAATATATGGGTTTTGACGAGGTATATTATCATTATAACGATGATTGTTCAAAGCATAACTCAATCTGAAAAATAATAGACACTAACAAAACAAATGTTTATATCATGATTATTTGATTAACTTCTACCAACCTTGGAATACGCATTGGCGTCTTGATACACGTACCCCAAAATGTCTAACAATTTATTTCAAATAAGTCAAAAGGGTAAATAAATAGAAGGTTTTACAGTTTCGGTTTAAAAAATAACCAATAGAGCTAAACAAATCCAGTGCGGTTTACGCTTTAATATATAAAATGTAAACATTTTATTTTCTTGACCCTACTTTTCATAAACACTGTTCAAAACAATGCTAATGTAAACTCGCTAAAGTATTATTATTTAAAACAAACTTTTTTACCTTTTATCATTCATATCATGTTTCGTTAAGCTGTGTATTTTAAATTTGTCTTGTTGCATAAAAGCTATTTAACAGTTATTTAATGTACGGGTTTTGGGTTTCGTTGTCAAGTAATATGAGATCTATTATGAGATCATGCATTGTTCGCCACCATTGTAAAATGTCCTTGAACAAATCATTTATAGATTTCAGGATAAAAAATAACCATCTTTCAATGTTAAATAAACAACTTTAATCAAAATTAAATTTTTTATGAGTTTTCAAGTGATACGACAGAAGTAAAAGAGAAAAGTGTAATTTACTGCAGTTTTATGACTTTGAAAAGCATTTGTTTGGTAGGGAGGTATTTCAATATTTACATAATTTTAAGATATTGAATTAGACAATATACTTTAAATCTCTACAATGATCTATACAATTTCATTAATTGAAAACTATTTTTAAAAGAAATCAAAGAAACATTTCAAATTGCATATAGCTGCTAAATCTGGATGATGTAATAGATAAAATACATGTATGTGTCTGCGTAAAAATCATTGCTAAATTAAAAGAAATAGGTTGAACGGATGTGCGACATCAACACAATAGCAGTGCTTTTAAGTTACAGTCTCACTTACAACCCGGCAGAGCCCCGGTAGACGTCCGGGGTGATCCGGGAACGACTGGAGTACATCCGTAACTCTGTCGGCAACGTCCGGGATGACCCGGGATGATCCGGGAACATCCGGGATTCGACCCCGGATGGAATAAAATATTTAATATAACCGGGGTGGTCCGGGATGATCCGGGAAGGTATTATAGCTTTGCCGGCTTCATCCTTAGCTCTGCCGGGAACGACCGGGGTTATACCGGGGAAGCACCGTAGCTTTGCCGGCACAAACCGGGGATGATCCGGGGTATGATATAGCCGGTAGAGCTACGATAGAGCTACGGTAGAGCCCCGGTTTATGCAGGCAGAGCCCCGGTAACTACAGGCAGAGCCCCGGAGGATAAAGGTAGAGCTACGGCTGATCCCGGTAGAGCCCCGGCAAAGCCCGGATCATTTCAAAAAAATAACGACAATTTGCGATGATTGCACTTGTTTGTATTTAAACTATTCCCATTTCCCTTCTATCCAGTCTTGCATAAGGATTTTTCAGAAAATCATCATGAATTACTATTCTGGAACAATAAATATTATATTTAATAAAAAATATGTATCAATTTTATCATTTTCACTCGTTTTCAATCCACCGAGGTTCTACCGGGGCTCTGCCTGGATCGTCCTGGGCTCTGCCTGGATCGACCGTGGCTCTGCCTGTGTCAACCGGGGCTCTTCCGGAGTCATCCGCGAACGACCGGGGAAGCACCGGCATGAACCGTAGCTTCACCTGGGCTCTGTCTTGATAATCCGGAGCGCATCCTGGGTGGTTATTTGGGAATTACCGTAGTGCTGCCGGGGTTAGTGTGACGGCAACAATAATTTCATCCCGGATCATCCCGATAACTTACCGGGATAGTCCTGGGCTCTGCCGGGAGTAAGTAAGACCGCAGCTTTAACGAAATTATTATAGAGATATTAAATTGCAGTTGACAATAGAAACATGGCTTGATAGTCATGAAATATTGCAATTCGATTTGTTTAAACATATTTTATTCCTGTCAAATTTTTACAAGATGTTCAATGCAAATATATATATAAAAAATAAAAAGAAATACACTTTGAAAGAAAAAAGGTTGGACCACAAGTTCATGTAACATTAGTAATTCGGTCCGTCCCTAATTGCAATTAGACTGTTTGAAGATGTTTGACAATGCCTGATAATAGAAATTTTCCAAATGAAATGGAACCTGTTCCCAGACCGTCACGTAAATAAATTCCAATATATTTTACTGCCACAATTGTTAAAGGTCAAGTGCAGAAAAGGTTTGGATCTGATATTGAATGTGTGATGGATATTTTGACAATGACTGCGTTTAACAGGTAGGCGAACCAAAATCTGGCAAATATTTGTAATCAGGGGTAATACGAAACTATATTATTAGCATTGCATATTTCTGTACTGCAAATAATGTCAAAAGGATTCGAGTCGTTTACATAAGAATAAATCAATGAAATCATGTAATATTAGCCGAAAATAGGCCATTCTTACATGACGCGTTTAAATCATAGAAGCGTATCCCTACATAAATTTTGCATTTTGGTGTCAACCATTCATAAAAATTTCATTCTAAAAATTATTAATAAAGGTATATAAATGGTAAAGTTAAGATGATAATCCTTCAACTACAGAAACAAAACAGAACTTTATCATGGAAACACTTGTATTCATGACATATAAATAGAACATTTGATTAACTATTGTTATCAAACAACAACAAAAGCAGCAGTAGAAATGAAGATAGAAATGGTATGTACGTACGTATGTATGCATGTACGTACGTACGTACGTACATACACACATACACATCTGTTAAACATATTTATTTGTACGTACGTATGTATGTATGTATGTTCGTACGTACGTACGTATTTATGTACGTATGTACATATGTGCGTGCTTGTGTCGACTTCAATTCAATCGGTAAAACAATTTAATTACATTACAAATACTGTGCATAATAGGGATCAAATGCATCGTAATTTAGCTACACAATAGACCGTATTAATCAAAAAATACATATTAAGCAATAAAAATGTCTGGCCAACCGACAAATTTCTAAATGAAAGGTACAATACAATGTAACCCAGTCCTGTGTATAAACACCGGTTAGGCTAAAAAGAGCTTGAAATATGTGTAAATGAGATATATTCTAGAGACTTGCGTTAGTCATGCTTGTTTTTAATTTTATTTTTAATATTAAAGAATTAGAGCAATTATGTTAACAATATGTTACTCGCAATGCAAATGATTTGTCAGAAAACAACGATGTAAACACTTCACTTTTGTTGTACACAGATATTAAATACAAATGTACATAACTTAAACGTAAAAAAAAAGAAATAAGAAACATGTATAAATATTTTGATATTTTATAAAAAAAATCTAAGAATAGAAAATTTGTATATTTCAGTTTTTTTCTGATTTAGTTAAAACATTCCGATATTTTGACAAGACGAATTACTTGTCAGTACTTTAACTATTGCGTTCTGTTTTTACCTGATGGATTGTGTTTTATGCAATGCAAACAAAGCAGGTAAAGTGTAAATATCAATTTCCCTACATGTTTACCAGTCATATTATTTGGAAAAAATATCAAGATTATAAAAGGATATTAATACGAGAAACGATTTAAATAAGTTCTTTACCTGAAATTGACACCTTTTATTTGTGCATTTGCTTGAAACTAGACCTCGATCCATACGCACATCCCGTGTCCTTTATGAACTTAAAGAAAAAATATAAATGTATTTTCTTTGACGTTGCCGCCATTGTTATAAATTAATTTTTCATTAATTAAGTGACTCAATTTGAATTAACATCCAAATTAATTAGTTTTGAATAGAAGAATTAATTAAGAAAAGATACATTGTCCGATAATGAATTTAAAGATTATGTAATCCACGGTAA